GGGAAGCGGCACGGCGGCCGGGCCGGGGAGGAGGAAGGCGGCGGGGACGGCTACGTGGACGCGCGGCTGTCGCGGCGTATCTTGGAGCAGGCGCGGCAGCAGCAGGAGGAGCTGGAAGCTGAGCATGGCCCCGGCGCGCCCGCCGCCCCCAGGCAGCGCAGCACGGCGCTGGGTGAGCCCCCGGTAACCCGCCCCCGGTAACACGGCCCCGGGAGTCTGGGGTGTGAGGCCCCGGGTTCAGCCAGCGCCTCTCCCCCACCAGGCCCGGCGGTGCGCGGCCCCGGCTCGGACTCGGAGGATGACGAGGAGTGGCCCTCGCTGGAAAAAGCGGCGGCGGTGGCAGCAGGACGGAGCGGGGAGTACGGCGGGGAGGTGGTGGTGGACCCCGAGGACGAGAAAGCCATCGAGATGTTCATGAACAAGAACCCGCCGCTGAGGTGAGGACGCGGCGGGAGACGGGACCGGGCGGGGGCTGCTGCTTCCCGGCACGGCCCCTGACTCGCAGCCCTCCTGCGCCGGCCCCAGGCGCACGCTGGCGGACATCATCATGGAGAAGATCACGGAGAAGCAGACGGAGGTGGAGACGGCGCTGTCGGAGATCTCGGGCTGCCCCATGCCCCAGCTCGATCCCCGCGTCCTGGAGGTCTACAGGGGCGTCAGAGAGGTGAGGCCAAAGCCACTCTGCCACCACCTCTGCACCCGCTGTCCCGCAGAGAGGCTGTTCCTGCTCTGCGCAGGCACTTCTGGGGATTATCTGCAGTTGGTGTAGGATCAGCCACCGAAGGGCCCAGAGGGTTCCTGAGCAACAGTCTCCTGAGCACCGTGCTCGGGATGGTCCTGGGATGGTCCTTTCTTGCCAGAGATGGGAAGGGAGGGGACAGCATTCTCATGAGACAAGTCCCGCAGCCCTGTTGTCAGTGCCCACATGTCGCAGCCTGGCCTGTATGTATCTTTTAAGGTGCTGTCCAAATACAGGAGTGGGAAACTCCCCAAGGCATTTAAAATCATTCCTGCCTTGTCCAACTGGGAGCAGATCCTCTACATCACGGAGCCGGAGACATGGACAGCAGCTGCCATGTACCAAGCCACCAGGTAAGATTGTCTCTGCTGATAGGGAAGGAAAAAGCAAAAAAAAAAACCCAGAACTGGAACCAAATTTACAAAACACCAACCTGTCCCCAGCTTGGCTTCCTTTCTCCACACCTCCCTTTGTGCTTTGCTTTTCCCAGGATATTCTCATCCAACCTGAAAGAGAGGATGGCCCAGCGGTTCTACAACCTGGTGCTGCTGCCGCGGGTCAGGGATGACATTGCTGAGTACAAGCGCCTCAATTTTCACCTCTACATGGCTTTGAAGAAGGCTTTGTTCAAGCCAGCAGCCTGGTTCAAAGGTAGGTACTCCCTGCAGGGCTCTTGTTGATACCTGGGAGCCTCTCGCCACCTGGGAAGCTCAGCAGGGCCACGTGCTGCCCAGTGTGACAGGACACCGTCCCCTGCATGGCCCCAAGGGCTCAGAGGGGAGGAGAAGATGTGAAAGAGATGCAGGGGGTCCCCCTTGGTGGACGAGGCGGGTTCCAAACCCCCAGAGGCCTCTGGTGCAGTGTTCAGGGCGGACAGGTGATGAGTGTCGTAGGCTTAGGCTGGTGGTGGCAGGTATTTGGGTTCTTTTGGAGGTTGGTGGCAGTTTATGAACTGTCTCGGGTCTGATCTCAGTCTTGTCTGGCAAGCTGAGGTGGTTTGGGGCTGGTCCATGGCAGGGAGATGCTGCAACCCCCCTGTCACAGCAGCTGCAGGAGGAGCTGTTATTTCCTGGGTCAGATGGGTCCTGGGATAGAAAGGGCTTAGTCCCGGGGTTCTGACTTAGTCTCAGGTGGTGCCTGACTTCCCCCTCCGCAGGGATCCTCATCCCCCTCTGCGAGTCGGGGACCTGCACGCTGCGGGAGGCCATCATCATCGGCAGCATCCTCACCAAGTGCTCCATCCCCGTCCTCCACTCCAGGTAACGCCCTGGGAGGCTGCAGGGACCCGGCGCCATCCCTGGGGTCTGTCCCTCAGCCTCTCCAGCACCTCGGAGGTGGGGGGTGGGTGGGTTGGCTCAGCTCTTCGTGGGCTTGAGATTCAAGGCTCAGTGCTGGGTTTATCTTTGTCTGGGCTCCTGCGGCCCCGTGGCTCCTGCCCTCACCTTGGTGCTGCGTGCGGCCCCGCAGCGCGGCCATGCTGAAGATCGCCGAGATGCAGTACAGCGGCGCCAACAGCATCTTCCTCCGCCTGCTCATCGACAAGAAATACGCCCTGCCCTTCCGCGTGGTGGACGCCCTCGTCTTCCACTTCCTGGCCTTCCGCACAGACCAGCGGGACCTGCCCGTGCTGTGGCACCAGAGCTTCCTGGCCTTAGCCCAGCGCTACAAGGAGGACCTCTCCTCGGAGCAGAAGGAGGCTTTGCTCGAGCTGCTCAAGTTCCACAGCCACCCGCAGATCTCGCCCGAGATCCGGAGGGAGCTGCTGAACTCCAAGACGCGGGACGTGGAGGGGCAGCCGCCCGCGGCCATGGAGTGAGTTGGGGAGAGGCAGGAAAATCCTGCGGCCTGACTCGCTCCTGGGGTGCTGTTGGGTGCTGCTGGGAGCCCAGTGTGGGAGCATCTGGGTGGGATCCTGCTGCTCCAGGCGGGCGCTGGGGGCTGGACTGCTCATTCTGCCCCTGTCCCACCCAGGAACCTGCTGCCATCAGCACCGGGGAGGGGTTTTGGCTTGTTTCCTGTATTGGAAAATAAAACCCGTGTCCCATCCCTGCGTGGTCCTGCCCTGTCCCCAGCAGGTGGCAGAGCAAAGCCACCACCCCCCCTTCGCCCGGCTCCTAGCAGAGCTGCAGATCCAGCCTGCGCTGCTGTCCCCAAATGGCAAAGGGAGGAGGGACCTCTCTGCACCCCCCTTCCCTCCCGGCCCGATTGGCAAAGGGGGGGTGGAGGGGGGACAGGGCTGGGCCCCCCAGAGCCCAGAAGCCACTCGTCTGGGGGGGGGGG